CCCCCCCCCATCTCAATAAGAGCCTATGCCAGAGTTAGTATAGGAGGCTTAATACCCCTAAACCACCGTGGTCACTGCACTTGGTTTTTTCGCTGTAAAAAATGAAGCTTTAACGCGTTGCGCGATGAGAGCGCCACATGGTAGTGCTGACTCATCAGTCCCATTTTCCCGAAAAAAGAATAAGTCATATTTATCTTCTACTTGTCTATCACAGTCACTCTTCAGCTCCATCTGCTTTGGCCAAATCACATTTATTATCCACCGGCTCTATCACAGGATATGCCAGCTTACAGATGCGATTAATTGTCCCACTAGGATACACTATAAGGATCACGGCATATCGTCGCTCACTATTTATCCACTCCGAAGACCACTACATACTGCTGCTTATGCATTCTGGAATGTGCTCCGTCTACTCATCAACATCATTGCCAGCAACCCAAAGAGTCCGAAGTTCTATACCAAAGATGCTGCGAGGAAAAGCGCAAATCTCACCACTACTCTTTAAGGCGCGAAGTGCGTGACTTCTAATGCCTTTCACTACCGGCCAATTCATGTCACATAGTACCTACGATAATATTAAACATTTTATCTAGATCTACGATTCAGTATTGTGTGCACGGTCGAAGTCTTCGCGCTTAACATGAAAGAATCTTCGACACTATAATAACTAGTCTTTTGTCACGTGACGCACAGCATCTGTATACTGAATATTGATTTTGACTGTTGCGCGTTGTACGAGATAATTTGACGCTGCTGGTTCTATCCTGACTTAATGTGGCTTTCCAAATCTCAAAAACGTTTTTGTCGATGCCCGGTATTACAAGATCAATGTTTTTTTTTCAAAAGGCGGCCTGCCCTCAATTAGGCTTGATGATTTCCGCAATGGTTCGTCGGCTGATCTCGCGTAGAAGCTAAAGTATATATACTTTCAATCAAGAGAAAAGGAGGTGCAGGGCGAATATGTCAAAATTGTATAGCAGAAATGTACCATTTGCGAGTACCAAAGTGCTACCCGACAGATCTAAGATCGCTACCCTCTCCGTCAGCTTGGCTGAGTTTCAACGCCCCCAGTGCTAGTAGGCTCTCTTCTTTTTGCGCCTCAACCAACCGTCGCGGCTCCAAAGTTGCTCTACACATTAAAATGCGACGCTCAACTCTTTAAAAAAAAGAGGTATACACGGAAGATCTCGATGCGAGGTATACCAGTTCCGCTCCACTCCATGAAAAAGGAAACGATCAGAATTCTCGAAAGAGAGTCTACTTACAGCTCGGCTCTTCAAATTCTTGACGCTAGTCCTAGTCAACTAAATCACTTTTGTGCTAACGGGTGGATAAATGTTTTAATCACACACACACAGAGAGACTTGATTAGACAGAGAATATCCAAGACAGAGCGAATATCCGCGGCATCTATCACTTCAACACTTTCCATGCTGTTAGTTAACGCGTCTACAAAGGATTCACACGCTTGTGCTATTTTACGCGCGCGACTTCGAAGCGTGAGAGCACTAGTGCAATGTGTTGTTGCTCCGCCTCAATCATGAAACATTTCTGGCCATCCCAACTATCGATTCCGGTCAGAGCGCTTTCTCTCTTGTCTCCCGCTCGACGCTTGGCAATATCAGGCTTGGTGTGGGAGCTGATTGTGCAACGACCGACACCTGATTAATGCACTCTTCAAAAATCTCTCTATCCCATATCCTTGGTGGCTAGTTGCCCCGCGCGAGCGATAACCATTTCAAGCCCTCCGGTCGCAAAATTTGTTATTTTCTAGGAGCCAAATAGATACAAGAACTTATTTACTTATTTTGAGTGTTCTATTGTCAAGAAAATTGACTATTGGTCATCCAAAGTCCCATTCTTACATATATTACAGTCCTAACAAAACTCGGTCGTAGAGTTGACGACAAATGCTACCAGTCGCAGCATGGTTACCTAGCGCCTTGCACAGAAATAACTTTGCAGCAACTTGTTGTGCATTTTGCACAAAGAAAATGCTGACTCTCAAAATCTGAGTGAACAAATGCACAGAAGTTGAGTTTGTTTGCTTTAGCCAGTAAGTGATTTGAGAATAGTTTAAGTAACCAACGCTGATAATTTATTCTAGTATTTTAAGAGTACTAATATTTGAGGAAACGACTTCAAAATAATTTCGTACCGATGCTTTAATATCATTTGTCATTTTACTAAAGTGCGTGCACCTCAAACTTCTCCTTTTTTAAGTCCTGTAATCTTTAAAAATATCAATATTTTGGTACTATTGAATATTTGAAACTACACGATGTGTAAATGTGTAAAATATATCGTATTTTTTTGTCAACTGTAGTAAATACGCCAGTATTAAGTACACAAAATTATCGTACTTGCCTCGGTGTAAGTTTCGACTCGACGAGACCGCGTAAGCAACAGCATGAAGGAATACATCGAAGTCCACCCAGGCGCCAAATTGAGGGGCTCTTGCGCATCAAGCGATAAGCTTGCCATAATTTCAACTGTATTCTATTTTGATAGTAAGCTTGCTTTAAATCGGATTAAATATGTGATACATCAAACTCCAAAGCATGCGTAGCGTGAGGCTTGTGGTCTAAATATTTCATGGTCCTCTTCATTTTCAAGTTTGATTACCCTTATCGATTCTAAATGTTCTTTATCATGCTTCATCATGTGTTTTACGTTAGTAGTATTGAACTTTACTTAAAAGCTGAGGGGGGAAGTCTAATGAGCATGTAAACCATAAAAGGATACGTATACCGCAATAGCCAGCAGCCAGCATTTTCTCACGGCTTTGACGATGATAAACTAAGCGCAAATTACGCTGCAATGGAGAAAATGACCACATTTTAATCGTCAAGACGAGGTATACAAGTTAGCGATTTTTAAGGTAATGGTAATGGCAGTTTAAATGGTCAAGTTTGGTTTTACGCATTATAAAGATTATAAACCCTATATGTTCGGTTATTATGAGCCTTAAGCTTCCACGCTCAGTCTATTCAAAGCATGACTCCACAGGTGTGGAGAAGGAGTATACATATATAATATTGAGGTATATACTGCGATCACCAAGGTGAAGTACACGTTGCATCGTTCATACAGTACTGAAGGACATTATGGATGCCTCGTTGATAGTCCGAGTGGAATCTCGCTAAACGTTACTGAATCAAGCTAACTTTGGTCTTTCATCTAGTTTATGGTTGTTCAAAACTAGCTGGCATATATACCGGCGCGCTAAATATGCTTAACTTGAGGGTAGGAATGGGCGCAATGGGATATGTATGGTGTTTAAGGGTGTACGCACATGGTGAGCTATTGTTTATTGGACTTTAAGTGGTGATCAAAAATATCATAGTGAAGGACCATGGTTCGATTATAGATATACTGGAGAGTGATGGGACCCCAAATAGGATAGATATGTAGAACATGTGGGTTGCTAACCTCGCACAATACGATAATCAGGGATTCAGATAGCAAAGCGTATATATTGAGTATCCATTATTGAATATATGTTTAAATAAATCACACTAAAAGGTCTAACTGTTGGGTACATAAACGGAAAGGAGCGTTGTGTCCTGAACTGGTGTCTAAGCCTATGTATCTGTGCGAGATGCACAGCGATCCAGTCAAGTTGCTCTATTTTTCAGTAAGGGCATGGTTCTGTTGTTCAATGCTAAACATCCTCTAATATACAAAGATATCGCTCCAAAGCTGATGTCATATCTTCGTGTGCGCCATCTTCAGCTACGTTTGAGATAGCTTCATGTTGTGGTAAATGCGTGTTGGTGACACCCAAATTTAGAAATATCACGTGTCACAATAATGTTGTCGCGCATGATTCGTACGGCAAACAGGTCAAACATAGCATGTGACGCGCTGTTGTTGGTCACCCAGGATGTTAAATCCGTGACAGCCCTAAACGACCTGCGTGAACCGTTCTCCTCCACTGGAAGATACGAACGGTCGCATCTTAGTGCGGTGATTAATATGGCAAGTACTTTAATAATGTCAACTTACCCATGAATAGGTTGTTTCATTGAACGCCACAAGAACGATACAATCGTACGAAAAAAAATTTAGAGTTACAAAACCCGATAAAGATGTCCAAGGGACATGTGGGCTATGAGCCGCACATTAGAAAAAAAATATTTCGTAATGAGCGGTGAAAACTCATCTATCTTGTATTATCCTGATCGTAATTAATTATAAATATATATAAGTGTAGTGGTTACCTGAAATGCTATTGCTTACACACCTGGAAGAAGTGCACAAATTCAACTTTCATGCGTTTGTAAACGCGCATTCTTATCGTCATATCCTCTTTTGTGTAAAGTACACGGCATCTACGCTGCACTCAAATGTTACTAGCTCCTCAATTTGCGCTGCCAGCAATACCGAACACATACGCCCTGTGTGCGAATTTGTTTATCGGCTGAGACGTGCGAAGAATTAAGCCAGATTTAAGAATTATTTGTGGGAAATGAGCACAAGGAATCGCCAGGTGAAATTACCAAGGTCAAATGATTTATAAAGGACGAATTGCTAAGCTCATCCATCAGCGCAAGTGATCCTGGACTTTCAATTTACGTTTTTCCGTGCAATCTGCTGTGAGTTGGTGAATCATCACACTCGACACATTAATTCTGTGTCAGAGATGTTGACAGCAAGCGAATGCTTATACTAATCTCAAAGCAGCCACGTCTTTGGCATCGACGACAATTCCATACGAAATGTAGGATGGACAATGGAGCCTTGTTCAGTACTCAGATGAAGTCTCTGGATTATATCAATTGCTCATAACAGCTTGTGCTATGCCTCCTACTGCGATAAAAACTTCGATCGCGATGGTCTAGGATGGCGGATTGTACCCCAGTGACTGATTAATGCGCCAGCAATGTTCAGACTTTTTGGTAATGCTGCTGAGACACGCATTCGAACAGACCTATTTTAACAATTCATTTGCTCACAGTCGATCAAAAAACGGGGTCTTAGATGTGAGGAACTGCATCAAATTGTTGCGAGCGGTGATCAACTTGGTGCGCGCCCAATAAAGCTGTCCACTAACATAGACAAGTGTATCTTTGGCGCCAACAACTTTTTACTGTCAGCATGCTTTATTAAATCATGGCAGATCCCGCGAGGATCATTTTGTCAGCAGGCAAGCGGAAATGGCGTAATTTGGTAAACCACGGCAGAAGTATCATGCAAATAACGCCAAAATGACGCGGCTCACCACTAATCATTCGTTATAAGGATGATAAATGATTTGGGGTGCGACAGCAAAAGCTGCATTCGAGGCTGTAGGCGAAAGTCTCGTGTGTGCTCCGATTCTGGCTTCTCCGCATCTAAATTTTGTGTGCCAATTATCTTTGGTCTCGGTCACTCGCTGTGCTGTACTAAAATATATGCTGGAAAGCATACATTTTTATTGCGTAAAAATGTATTAAGCTTTAAGTGGCAGAGAAGACCCACCGTGTACAAGACAGGAGGCTACTTGTTATCAAGTATATTATCGTAAAGAACATTGTATATCTTTTTGGCTCAAAGCCATTCTGATCCGTACGGATTATGTGTCGTTGCGCACAGCGAAGTCGTCACCATGAATCTAACAGAGTTTAACGAGATAAGTATCTCTCTCTACTAAGTAGTTTATTAGGTCCCGCATTATTGACCCGTTCTTTTTCACGTTTGCATTTTATATTCATTATTCCAAATCTATATTCATTCTAACTCCAATCCTAACGTCTCTCACTGTGTGAAAAGTAGAGACCATCTTCAACTACATAATACTATTCAAGGACAACAAAACTTCTGGGAGGTTCTTCCGCAAAAAAGACTGAGCGCAAAATATCAGTGAATTTAACACGTTTACAAGAATAAGCACTTGCGATTGCGTGAGCAAATTAACAGCAGGTGATACCTCGCGACATGCGCAGCATCCCCAGGAAAGTGTGCCGATTCTGGCAGAATCTTGAAAGTTCATTAGCATTTAATATATTTTGGTCTCCCGAACGACAGGTTTAAACATACTGGTATTCAGGATTCGAGACTGTCAGAACAGACTGGTTTGTCTCGCTGCGGTCAGCAATCCCATAACCATTGCAAAAGCAGCAAAGCTATTCCGCAACGTAGCGTTCCGCCAGACTGTTTAACAGTATCCTTGCGTTATATCAAGCTTATTTTTAAAGCAAACTTCAGGCAAACTTTGTGTAGTGTGTTAAGCAGTCGATAGACATGTCTAAGGCTGAAAGAAAGAAGAGAAGCCGAGATGAAAGCGTCTATTGCGAGATAGATGATAACCCCCGTAGCACTCGCACAGAGAGACTGCATTGCGAGAGCAAATTGATTTCGTTCAATTCGTTTGCGTTAAATAATCAAGTATACTCCTCTTCGATTGTTCTTCATTTGAAAATGATTTTACAAACCATTCTTTCATACATATCAATCTATTTCACAAACTAGTTGTAAAATGAGGTGAAGTCCAAGAAGACATATACCCTTACATTTGAGGCAAACTAAATGAGTGGGGTCAGCACCTTCACATAATACCTACCGTCTCGGTGAGGAAGGACTGAGATCAAAACCAACTCGCTACAATAAGCCCGGCTACATTTCGTAGCATATTGATAAAGTAATCTCAACGAAATTGAGCGTCATGCCCTAAGTGTGCGACGCGTTAACTAGAGCCAGGATCTACAAAAGCAACACATCAATACCATGGACAGTTAAATGCGCTTGAATATGTCGTTAAGAGCAAATATTGATGAAAGCTGTCAATGTACTAGCATATGTACCATTCTGTGGCATCTAAAAAGCTAATTGCTCCCACACAGGAATATACAAGCACACCCTGTGTTCTTGGTGAACTCACCAAAGCCAAAACACGATCCCGCCGTAATAAATGAGACATATGTGCAGTGCTTCGATGAGGACGAATCAACATCTTCACCGTCTCGTGCCATTGTGTGCGACGCGGTAGCTTGGATAGCGCACCTAAATACCGATCCATTCCTGTATTGACCGCACGCTGAAAATTTCAGCGAGTCGAAATGTCTCATACCCGGGATAAATAATCGTTGTCAGCAACGGCGAGGGGTCGGTCTTCCTCCGCACAATTTGATGAACAAGTAATGCACACTTACATATGATGGGGTATGTGAAACGACGAGTTCGCCCAGTAATTTTTCAGCATTTGCTAAAGTGGGCGTTATATCCTCTCCCAGAAAGCTTATAGGAGTTTAAGGTCTCCATTCGGCAAGACTGTCGTGGCGCTGTGGGCCGATTACTACTCCTGATTGGGAAATGTGTCGCCTGGAGCATCGCATCTCCCAATCAGGAGTAGTAATCGGCCTTGTTTGATATTAAGACTTGGCTGGAATCTTTAAGAGCAGAAATATAATGATGTGAGCTGCTGATAGCAAGAACTGAATCTGACAATACTTCATCGCGACGTCCACAACGTGCATTGTACTTCGTGATGTGGAGGTCTAAACGGTATATTTCAGTCTGACGTCTACTTCTTGAAAGCATGCATGTAAAACTGATACACCAGCTGCGCAAATCAAGTGCAATAATCATTAGCACTTTCGTCAGCTTTCAGAACCAAAAAAATGGCTCTCATGAGGGATATGGATCTATCCGCCCACGGGTGCTCCAGGTTAGGTGGTACTTCTGATATATGGATCAGTGTACACGTGCCCTTGTAAGAAAGGGCAGGTCGCACAAGATTGTGCAACCGTATATGCTGTGTATTACACAGTTAGTGTCATAACACAGTGGTGTGGCTACACCGTAACAAGAAGCCACCATTTGGCAGAGTTGCCAGTAGTAATGCATATTTCAATTTTAATCGGGTTTTGCTATTTTAATTTGGTAACTTAGGAAAAACTAGGGTTTATGATATTGGCGGCTCTGCCGCAACTTAAACAATTAAAAACGGTTTCGTTTTTAAAGAGAAGTGTTCGTTTGCCTGATTAAGCTTTAGTACTAAAAATTAGCGGATTGCGATCCGCTACACTTCTAGTGGTTCTTTGAGAGAACGTAAAATCGATGACCTTAGCTTACCTTCCTCTGAGCAAAAAGCAACGGTAGCCCCGCTGCACCTTGAGCTTGGCAAACTGAAATCTAAGATGGCGCTCAATGCGCACGTTTATTTCCATCGACTGAAAAGTTCTCCGAGAAGAAATCTGTGCCTCGAATTTTTCTATAGCATGGCTGATTCACTCTCCATCTGGCCCACTCATATATTTCAATTTACATTGGCATATTGTGTGTCAAGAAGGCTGATGCAGCATATAGCAAACTGATGGTTGTTAATTTGTATACAGACGCTAAGATTAAGCGGGATCAGAGACCGCAACTTGAAGCCGCGGTCCCAAAAATTCTTTGGGACGGATGAGGTCAACAATGATCTGGGGGCGCTAGGATCGCTTTAACCGAGATAAATCGGTCTCCAGGTTTGACCTTATCGTGATAGATCGGGTCCCGCTTGTACGTACATCCGGGTCAGAATCATGCCTACCGGGCGGATCATCAAAGCTTCCGATTTTGTGGCAACTTGTCATATATATATTCGCAAGCAAAGTGACTGAGCTAAACGTAGAGATTGTTTTCATTCCATCTGTACTCCAGTTGAAATTTTTACAGAGCTTGACAGATTATATATCGAGGATACGTGCATCGAACTGCAAGGTGGATCGGCCGACGAGATGATTGGGATAGCTGAACGCATCATCCGATATGAGTATAAGCTCTCTATTGGTGACACTCGCAGAAAACGAGTACAGAAATCGGGATGCGATTCTCAAAGTCGTAAGCAGCCTCTCTAATTTTTGCTCGAGAAAAATCACGACGTAGAATCAATAGACCTGCCACAAGTGTAACCTATTTGTCGTATATTGATTTGTTTCTGCCCAATACTGCATGACCCACTAATTGTTATATCCAAGGGGTCATAAGCGCTTTCGACTGTGTATAGCGCGGAGCTGGCGGGGCGATAGATACTTAATGTCTTCAATCGGCGCCAGATTTCTGTGTTGGTGTGGATTTATATCGCTGCCTACTGTATCTGCGGCTTTAAATGATCGTATGGTGCAGCTGCTGAGGCCTCAGCGTGCACATCCACAGACCTCTTTTGGCGGTACATTCATCCATAGTTGTGCAGAACATATATAAGCCATTTAAACCCCATACGAGATGCTTTCAACTATACGCGCTTTGATACGTTCCATCCGCACCAGACGCAATTGGTGGTTGAATGAGGTATTTGGCCGGGTTTGTGAAAGTTCTAAGAAAATAGACTTCTATTTTGGCAGGTCGTTACCGCTAAGGACTTGACACACCTGTCTATACATACTCAGAGGGCGTATCTGTACCAGCAGACTCATGCGATCACGGAGTTGAGCAGAACTGGCTATACTTGAAGTTGTGAATGTCAGTTTCAGTTCAGTCGTAACATTGTGCGTTCCGCGGGAGTCGAAACAATCTTCTTCCATAGGGATCGGAAAAAGAGAAGGCAAGTCGTGCAAAATAGACTCACAGCGTAGACTATTCTTTTACTTTGAGTAATCTTCGCACGGATGAAAAACGGCTTCTTTCTTTGTCTTCCGGCAAGGGCAAATATGCCAGGTTGGGACCCTGTAAGACACTACTACCGCTCTATTCAGAGAACAACTCGGCTGCTTCACTGAGAATGGCTCGTAGCCCGTCGGCCGGAGGCCGTTCCTTGCATTGGCTCGTCGAGCCATGTGTATTCGAAAGGTCGAAGACTCTTGAAGTTTTTCACGTTTATTGGTGCAAGTTTTTGATAGGTGATTTTTTTCACGTTTATTGGTGCAAGTTTTTGATAGGTGAACGGGGTTCACCAAAGCATTTGGCAGAGTGGTGCTCATACAGCACTCACTTTATGGAAGATTTCCATATGGGCATGGCTCCCTCTAATGCCTTATACATCCACCAGCCTCTTTTGAAAAAAATATTATTTTATCAAATGTGAAGCACAGCCACCGATACACAGGGATGCAGGGGCTGGCGTGAAACGAGATTACACGAACCCCTTTATGTAAGGGCGGGTCGCACAAGATAGTGTGACCGTACATAGGTGTGGGTTACACAAGTTGGTGTAATCACTCAATGATGTGGTGCACCGTAAAAAGAAGCCACCACGTGGCAGGATTGCCAGTAGTAATGCACATAATAGTATTAATTAGGTTTCACTATAAAAAAAAATAGAATTTTGATAATAGGGGCTCTGCCGCAACTAAAACAATTAAATACAGCTTTGGTTCTGAGCAGAAGTGTCGTTTGCCTTGGTAAGGGTTTAATTCTTGGAAGTAGCGGATTGCAATCCGCTACACTCGTACTGGTTCTTGGAAAGAACTTAAGGTCTGTAACCATAGCTTAGCTTCCTCAAAGCAAAGCGCTACGGCAGCCCCGCAGCAGTGAGATAACGCAAGCGGGACGATTCTGAGTACTGATTTTGCCCGAGATGGGCAAGCTTGTCGCAGTGATCAAGGTCCAGCTCGAGCATAATTGCCCGACGTCCTGGAATCGATGAGGATCTTCCATGGATTCTCGAAGTCCTTTACGGTCGCCTCCACGACCAGCGAGCCCGGCTTGCATACACGTTCCGTGTTCAAGAGCACAGAGCTCTTCGGGGCTAGGTCCTGTTGATCTATGCCTCCCCGAGGCTCAACATAACTCTGTTCTTACCCAGTAGGTCGCCCGCGCCTACTGAGTGGTGTGGGTTTCCCCGCGACGAGCCAGACAGGTAGCGTTGGGGCGATAGTTCGAAAAATCTCTTCGCGCCTTGCGCAGGGGGCAACCGCTCCGCAGGTGACGAGTGTCCCCACAGACAAAACACCGTCGTGTGTTTGCGTGCTGCCCGGCAGCTCGAAGCTATGCTCCCTCGTCCTCAGTATAGCTGAGATCCATGGGCATAGGCCCATTAGACGAGCTGTTGGAGTGTGCATTCCAACCAAGTCGTGATGACTTGAAATTAAATTCGGCATGCAATGCCACATTCACCGCCTCTTCAAACGAAGACGGATGCACACGGAAGACTTTCATTCTGGCCACGCCAGTACGGAAGCCTTCCAAAAACACGGTCACCGTGACCGCCTCCGGGAGGGGATCTGCTGCCATCCCGGCAGTGAGAGTTCGCATCTCTTGGACAAAATCCACCGATTCCTTGTTGCCCTGTCGAGCGGCAAGAAAGCGCAATCGTACGCGATTGGCCGGTTTTGGCGGCATGAGCACTCGTGAGAGCTGCAATTTCAGCTCCGCCCAGGAGGGAAACACAGCTTCGACCAAAGTGCCGAACGTCAGAGCCCATTTTCGCGCTCAAACACCGAGCTTTGAGATGGCTAGCGCTACGCACTGTTGCTATGTCTGTAGCATGGCGGATGCGATCGCCATCTCGAACTCTCTCACCCAAAGCAGGAGATTCTTTCCATCCTTCCCCTCAAAGACCTA